TAAATTCAAATTCAACTTATTTAATTTGTGATACTTTCAGATTTCAGACCATGAGTTTTGGGTTAATAAATGTGAAGATTATATTCAACTCACAAAATATTCGGATTTTGAGCCTTATTCGGGTTTAGTCCAAATTCACTTATCACTTCTCAATTTTCTTAATATAATTACTATAACTATTAAGTTGTAAAATTAATTTAACATTCACAGGACTATAACATTAAAATTAAACATGAACAAGTGATATTTTTTAAAAAGTACATAAATAAAAAAATTTCAAAAATATTTATATCTAATTCGTTCAAAATACATAAAAATAGTAATAAAACATGTGATTATAAGCTAAAACATTTTTCAAAGGTTGAAACTTCTTCATAGCCTTGTAACTTAAATCCAAACATGCTTGATGATTTATATTTCTAGATCAAAATAAAATCAATCAATATTATGCCAACATAAAAATTTACTCAACCAATAAGAAAAGTTAGAGTTTTTGTTATGCATTACCAATATGGGTTGATAAGTCGTAGTTTTGTTATTTATTTTATAATTAATTCCCTCCTATTATCTTACCAACTGTGCATTAATTAGCGGATTCTACTCACTTTTGAAAATTTATATTTATTGCAGGGAGTTGAACAAAATACTATAAAAAGGTGCTAATTTGACGATAGTCAGTAGAAGAGTTTGAGTAATAAAAGGGAACAAGAGTCCAAATAGAGATTGTTTTCCTTATCCAGTGGTCAACTGCGGCAGTCCAGGAGAAAATTTTGGGGAACTTCCCTTTTTCCTTTCTTTTGGTAGTTTCCAAAGAGGACAGTGGTCCAACTCAACTAGGAGTCTTCCCTTTTATTCCTTTGGTAACCGGATAGGAAGTAGGGAATTAGGGAGGAAAATGGCAGACAATCTTGACTACTTTTGTTTTTGAGTTTTTCGTCTTACTCGTGTGACTTATTCCATCGAATTCAATCATCTCAACTGAGGAACGATGTATGCGACAATTCTTTTTGCGATCTTGTGTGAGATTATTCTAATAGAGATGAACTAAATCTCTTTTTCTAGTCAATAAACAACGGAAGTTTTGATTTATCTAAAAATTGTGAGATCGAATTAATTTTATTTACTTATCTTATTTACTGGTATTTGCATATTCTCTGATTGTAGTGTTTATGATTTTTTTATTAATTGAGTATCCTGAGCCCGAACGTTGAATTAATTTAGCAACCTAATGTCAATTGGAGTGTTAAATCCGTAATTGTTTAATTACTCTAAAATAGTGACAACTGGCATGATTAGATTTGTGTCAGGAGAATACGCGGACTAATATAAAATAACCCCAGTAGTGTGTTATTTGGTTAGAATATGGCTCCTCTAATACGTAAGGCAATTGGGGAATTAAATCTTACTGGCGTACCTAGGATTATTTCTCGATTAGAGTAGTGATTAATAGGCGTACCTTAATCACCAACACAGTAAGGAGAAGTTGACTGTCATCGCTTGTTTGGCAGTTATAACTTATTTATTAGTTGATAATTGGAATTACCTTTGCATCGATGATCAATTAGGTAAATCATTGCTGAAGTTATTTCTTGACTAGAGCTTAGTTATTATTAATTTGGTTTTAATAATTTGTCATTTAATTTTTAGTCGGCTATTTATTTTTATTCGAACTGTTTAATTATTGCCATTGCTATAAGACAACCCCCCATTGTTAGTTTGAGCTTCAAAAGAGACAAATATCCCCAGTTTCTATGGATTCGACTCTACTTATCACTATGTACAGAAATTATATTTTGTTTGAGCAGGTATTTATTATTGCACAGACTCGACAACCTGTCATGGGCTCTCAAAAAAAACTAGTAGAGGAGTTTTCATATGTATTTTTATGTTTTATAATTTGCATATATTTTAATATTTAGTAATAATATATTTGAATATATAATCATACATAATATCAAAATATAAATATTATATATATCATTATATATATAAGTAATTAAAAGGCCGGCCCTATATCGAGTTTGTACCTAATGAAATTCAAACTCAGCTCATATTCAATTCGGGCCTATTATTTAGACCCAAATTCAGACCGAATCACTGAATGGTCGGATTTATTGGGTTTTTTCTGGGCCGAATGAGTTGAACTCGGGTTGGCTTAGCCCCCTTGATAGTCCTACAAAATATTCAATTTCGGATCGTTCAAATGCCAAAAAGAATCGATTAATGTCTCTAAATCACGCAACCTTTTCAAGAGCATGGCAATTCAAGAGTTGACATGTGATTTGATAACTAATTGTGCGTTATGTAAGGTTAGTGATTGAACTTTCTTTGTCTATTTTTTGAGTAGCTAGTCATTGTGTATTGAAATTAAATTTTCCCCCTTTTAACTGAGTTTGTAAATCCTGGACTGATAACTGTCAATTGATTGAGACTAAAATATGAAATGGTTTATTTTTCTGAAGATGTCTCACATCTCTAAAAATTGATCTTAATCCAAATTTGATATAACGCATAGAAGTACGTGGTAATAGGATTGAGTTTGATGTTCGTATCAATTCTTTTTACCTCCACTTATCTGTCTATTTATGTGTATATATGTAACTAAATCCTTTAAAAGTAATTTGATTATACCAGTATTTTCATTTTACTGAGTAGATTAGTATACTTAAAGTCATTCGAGAATGCTTTATCATTAGCTTTTCACAAAAATTTTTGATATTAAAACAGGAGTAAAATAATAACAAGTTTATAACAATTAATCTGTTTTCTTTACATGACTTTGTAATAAGGCTGCAATATTTTTTATTACAAGAAAATGACGAACAAATGGCAAAACTTAGTGAATTTTTTTTGAAAAGCAAGAACTTTAATTTTATTTCAATTTCTATGCGTAACTCAAATAAATAAATCAGGCATATTAAGAACGGTTGCAATTTTGCAAATGATTTAAATAATTCTAAGATTAATGTTAATCTTGGGAATCCCAATCACTAATTGAAAATCTTCTATTGTTTCATCAGTTGTAACTTTCCGAATATTTGGTTGAATGAAATATCTTACAACGTCTTTACTAAAAGAAAATAGAAATCTTGTGTATTCACGAAACTAGCTTGAATAATGCATATTTTCTATATGGATCCCAAAACAAGGAAGAAAAAGTAATGCATAGTATCTCGAGCTTCCAAAACAAGGAAGAAAAGGTAAGTTCCTAAATCCAACTCCAAAAATATGTACATCCTCCAACCCTCCTCACTTGCATTCAATATTTAAGTTAATTAATTTACTAGTGTTTCATAATATTCTAGTGTTCCAATCACAAGATCGATCATATAGTGGGAATTTGATGTCAGAGAATCCATAGCCGTTGATTGCGTGACCATGAATAACTTAGTAGATGAGGATTGTGCATCCAATGTTATTCCTTTGCTCAATGTTAGCCACGGCAGCATGGCAAAGGTTGTACGTTAGCAAGCAGACGAAACAGTCTCTGACGAGAACAAGAAGAAGTTTGATGATCAATTTTTAACATGGCAACATCGGATATCTGATTGGCCTTATCATGGCAGCAAATTATCTCAACACCAAGCCACTATGAATATGTGTTGCACACGTATTGCTAGTACCAATAGTCGCCGGAGGAAGTTCGACAGATTTTAAACGTTGCTAACAATTATTCCCTTGAAGAAGAAGAACCAGTTCGCAAGAAAAATGGTAGGCTATCCAGGGCATTGATGCATATACTTATACATATATATATATATATATATATATATATGTATATATAATTTTTGATCAAGTAGTTTATTATCCTGGAATTTGGATTTTATATACCAGGGCTTTGCCAAAAATGTTTAATTAATTATATAGACTTTCTTATTATTATTGTTTTTCGGGTTTCTTATAGGCCTTTACAAGTAAAGACAACTCAAGTTCAGACCGATAAAATTACTTAGTTTTCAGGAATATTTATTCTAAGTTGACAAGTGGGCGTATCAGGTAAAGTCCTCGATATATTGTTAACTCCCGATCAAGTACTTGCAGGATCACAGTTAAATTGTCTTTCATTAATTACTTCAATATTTTTATCCATGAGTTTATGAAAAAACAGGAACTAGTTAACTACAAAAATAGGAAAAGCAAACAGAAAAATTAAAGAAATTTGCTAAAAATCATGTTGGCTCGCCATGGAGAACCGATTCCAAGACCTACAGGACCGGACCTGGAGCCATATCATGATCAGAGGCTTCGAACAATTCAACTAGGCGACCAGCTTCCGATCCGGCACAAGGATCAGTAGGATCTGGCGCCGGTTCTAAAATAAATCGTCTCGATAAACTTCTATTCTGGATCATTTTCATGCATGACCTCTTGGCTTTTAAACGAGCCTCCTTAGACCCCATATCGTAAAGGAATGTTCTGCATTAGAACCCCACCCCCACCCCCCCCCCCCAACACAAAAAAAACTTCAAAAGATTCGACCCCAAATATTACAGAAAAATTATTAGGGATATTTCTATGGCTTACCATTAGTGTGTTGTGGAAATACTTATGCTTGCCTTTTTTGGCAAGCAAGAAAGTTTTAAAATACGGTTGGTGTAATTTGAATTGTAGAAAAATTTAATGTTATCGAGCTTCCTCATGCACATATGATACATTTTCGAAAATTTTTTTTTTTCTACGCAGTTTCTTTTTCACGTCTGTTCCCTTAATTTCCTATGCCACCACTCCATTACAGAGATGCAGAACAGTCGCCAATGCACATGCTTTCTACAGAGCTTCGGAATGGTTGCCAATGCATATACTCCATTGAGCATTCGCATAATTGGTCCCTCCCTGCTGCTGGCGCCACCCTAGGGCCCAGGCGCCGCCCAAATGGTCACCTACTCCTATATCCTAAATGCATCACCATAAATATACATCCCTTTCCACAAACTAGTTCTAACTTGCGTTGCTGCCTTCATTGTTTTTGTAACATATTTCTGCAGTCAATTGATAAAACAATGGCAAAAACTTTAGCTTTGAGCACATCCATTCCAGTTATTGTACTACTTTTATTAACCGTGATAACATGTATACAAGCTGAGCAGTATCAGCTTAAGGAAACAACGATGTCTATATTCTTTCAAGACTCTATGATGGGACCAAACGCCACTATCGTAGCGGTTGCTGGCATTCCGGGCAAGCCCCGGGATTTTTTCCAGTTTGGAACCGTCTTTGTCACTGATGATCCCATAACAACCTCTATCGAACGCAATTCCCCAGAAATCGGTCGAGGCCAAGGGATGTACGTAACGTGTTCCCTAGATGGAAAAAACACTTATGTCTTGGTTTTCGTTGTTTTCTCCAATCCAGAATACGGTGGTAGCACGTTGGAACTACAAGGACGAAGCATACAACTTGCCCCGGTAAGGGAAGTTTCAATAGTTTCCGGCACCGGAAAGTTTAGATTTGCAAGGGGATATGCTACCTTTGAGACAGTTTTCGTAGATTCCTCAACTGGTCGTTCTACTGAATGGTGTAATATTAGTGTGCTATACTAGTGATTTCTTCTTTTTTTTTTTTTTTTTTCCTGGTAAGGGATTAGAAATCCCTCTGGCCAGCCTGATAGATCGGCTTAATAAATTAAATGGAATTATAACCTGATGAAATGTGTTAGCTTCAAGTGCAGATGTTTATTGATAACACCTACAACCTATTTGGTTCTTGATTTTATAAGCCATTTTAACAAAAGCAATCTCATGATCAATTTTCCATTTCAGACACTACAAAGACGTAATATTTATACAGTTCTATGGAATATGATTTTTGGTTTAATAGATTTAAGCCAACTGTCGGGTAAAGTAAGTGTAGGAGTTAAATCAAAATTAGCTTATTTTATAGTAATTGGTTTCCCCATGTCTTTGTCCAATTGCGTTTTGATGATTTTCCTAATTGTTGGGGTTTCCTTAAGCTCATCGGTTGCTAATCCAAGTCCAATTGTATCTCGGTTTCTTTAGTCGGCTCGAAACCACAGTGCACAGACATTGGGAAATTTGACTAGCCTATATGAATATGTGATATTAGTCTGCTTCTCAATTATAGCGAGATTATAAGATGAATAACTTATCGAGTTGCCTCCCAAATTTCGTCTCTGTCTTTTCTTGTTTAATTGAATTGCAAAGCCTTGTGGCTTATATTGATCCTTTTTTGAGGGTCTATAGTAAGAGTTTGAATTAGTTCGACTCATATTGCCATGGATCTTACATGATCATTATTGAAGAGATGTCTGAATTTAACAATTGCATCAACTTGTAATGGACATCAAGAAAATCTTTAACATCCCCCCTCGCTTGCTCCCTCCCTCCCCCCGTTTTAAGAATATCAATACTCAATAATCATAACAAACAAATCAAGCATGCTAAAATATGTTATCAACCAATTTGTCAAAAATAAGAATTGAAATGGTAGAGCAGAACGGCTTATTTATTTATTTATTATTATTATTTTGTTGGGTGGATTAGGTTTAGAGGTCTTGAGTGGCTGTTTGCCCAATAGTTCACCAAACTTGATGTTCAAAATGGACCGCGTCAGATATGTAACCAAACCAATGGGCCTGATATTTTAGCGTTCTAAATTAGGCTATGGATCTTGCTGAAACTCGACTTTGAAAGTCGAATTGGCACCCTCAAAATAAGAAGTATATAGAGATCACATTAGAAAATAAGGAAGGGAGGTTATATTTTTCAAAATTCAAGGGTATCAAGTGATATTATCACAAATCTCAAGGAAGGTTTTTGAAATTATCCCTTAGTAAAATTGGGAAAATATAAAAACATAAGAAAAATGGGGAAATATATAGAAACTTTGAAGAAAGCAAAGTCTATTTCTTATGATATCTTCAATGTAGAAAAGTATAGGATTTTAAAGGCATTAATTATATACGAGTATAAAAATCAAAGAATAATCTACTTATTCTAGTTCCTCCAAGAATTAGTAGTCCTAGGTTTTAATCCCTCTTCCCCCCCTTGTTTCTTAAATCTCACCTCTTTCCTATTTAAAAAAAAAAGAAAAAACTTATTCTAATTCAATGAGTGATGTCATATTATTTTTTTCTATTTTCATTTTTTGTGAAACTAATGGCATATTATTTAAGTAATTTATTTAACTCAAAAATCCAAATTTAAGTCCTTTGAGGTTCCATGGTGATGAACTACTACTAACATTGCTAGGGAGGCCTTAGTCAAATGACTAAAGTTGAGTTCTTAGGACTTAAAAGGCTTGCATTCAAATCACTTTCTTCTTTCTAAATTTTTAAATCTCACATCTTTCCTATTAGAAAAGGGTTTTTTCTACTATGTGCCTCTAGGACATAAGATAGGTGTACAAAATATAAGGGTGGACCTATTTTAAATTTTAAACATTATCATTTACCCTCTAAATTCAAGAAACTTTAGCCAAGAAATTTTAAACTTTTACGAATAACTAATACTCTGACCCATCTCTTGTCATATGCCCTGAGTGCATAGAATAGAAGAACCTTAAAAAACTGTTATTGACATTGGATGTGGAAAGGAAGTTATTGTCTTGAAGGAGAAGAAAAAGTATAACCTAATAGAAAATGAGTATAGCCCCATAGAAGCCATTTAGTGTTGGTAGATAGTTTGTGGAATGTTATAAATTGACGTGTGCAGTAAAGCTAATTTGCAGTTAAGTCAGTTAGGATAATTGAATGGGAGGGATCATTCCCATCTTGGTTATCAGAACTAGCTAGGAAAGATATGGGGATAGTTACCCCGTTTTGTAATTAACTCTTGTAATTTCAAGTGTTAATATATATAAAATTGGTATCGTTTGTCAAAAAAAAAAAAAAGTAAAGCTAATTGAAGAAGGGAAAGTAAGAGATTTAATTGAAGATATAAAAATGTCATGAAAAACCGTAATAAGCAAAGAATATAGGGACTCACATTATTCAAAAATCTATAAAACAACGGAAGAATTCCTAGATTAAAAGGAGGGAGGAGTGAATGTCATGAAATTTTAAGTATCCAAAAGAAAAAAAAAATTAAGTGGTCCAATACTACAGATCCAAGTAGATGGAAGAAAAAAAAAAGTAGATGAAAGAAAATGATACTACTAGACGCAATAAATATCTAAACCAGATAAGAGTACGATCATGAAAACATCTTGGAAACAAACAATTATGTTACAAACATTTGGTACTCAAATATAAAGCTCTGTGCCACAAGCATGATTAAGATGGACTCACAGATGAAGAGTATGAAAATGAAAAATTTATGGGCGACGAAGGACAAGTAAATGTTGAAGAAGAAGAAACTTTTACCGTCAATCCAAATTAATCTTGAAATATGGGAAAAATAAACAGTTAAGTTTTAGAGGTAAATGATAATCATTGGAGGGGATCCATAACGTAGTAGCTATGTCACATTATCGAAAAGATTGGTTAAACAAAAAAAATTTATTAGACAATATGGCTGTACCGTTGGATTGTCATATTCTCATTTGTTTAAATGTTAGGTACCAATTGAACAGAGTGAGCATGTGTGCTAGATTCGGCTAATTCCTTTGTTTATTATCTAAAGAACAAAAAATCGCAACAATAATGTTTTGACAATGTTCTGGTATAGAACTATACCTACCGAGCTGATTAAGCTTGGCGAGAAAAAAAAAATTTTTTTTTAGGTTATGCTACCGGATTTAGTCAGCTCGAAAGCCTAGTAAACATTTTTCTGACAGGCTGTTGGGCTGGTAGATTTTTTTTTTTTTTCTAAATGTTTGCGGCAGCCACTCATAATTTTCAAAAAAAGCTGCCGGGTTATTATTATTATTATTGTTAGTATTAAAACTAAGCCCGGCTGCCTTTTTGGTTAATTTTTTTATAGAACACTCAAATATCCCACGCATTAGGAGATTAATAGAGTCGGCTGGCACTGGAAAATTTTGACACTAACTGAAATGGGTAGAGGGGTAGTTTGACGCTATACTGACAATTGAGGCTAATGAATCAAGGGGCCAGACTACCCCACGGATTCGCTTTTCACAGCTGCTTGTATCAAGGCAGCGACTGAAGCATTAAGCTGTTATTCAGGAAATTTATACATAGCTGTTTTTGTGAAATCTTTTGGCATTCCATGTTGCATTTACTATGCCGAACCTCTCTTATTCTTTAGGTTACTGATACAGGTCATAGCATTTACTATGGGCTCTCTATATTAAAGGAAAAACAAGGGATAATTTCAGAAAAACTCCGCTGAGGTTTTTGACAATTGTAGAGACCTCCCCTCAAGTTTATTAAATTACACTACTTCCCTTGCTTTTACTGTTTATATAACAATATAGACCCAAAAGGTTATACATTTTTTCAAAAACCCTAAACTACCCTTTTGGTTCAAAATAAAACAAATATTATTTTGCCAATTGCTTTTCTCCATATTTCAACCAAACCCACTATACTAACAAACTAGTCTAACAAATAGTCTAATTCCAAATTCTAAACTCAAGCAATTCCATCATCATAGTCATAAAATTGCTTCTCCCAAAGTATGAATTCAATTCTGAAGATTCGTTCCATTTTTCAGAAATATTCTCACCATATGGTTCCATATAATGATCAAACTCACAATCAGCTGCTCTTATACTTGCATAATCTTCAACATAGGATGACATAGTTTGGTTCCATATAGTGGCTTAACTCCTACTACATGAACCACATTATGGATTTGAAAAAAAAATCCTTTGGGGAGATTTAGGTATGATTGGGCTTATAATCAAGTTTAAGAGAAGGAAAAGCATCATTATGACTATAGAAATCTTCAAGAAATTCATTTTGCCAAAAACCAAAATTCTATTTACAACTAATCACACCCCAAACTTCAAATCCAATGCCCATACCTTCTCAAAACAAAATAATGTAGCCTACTACTAAATCTCCAAACATGTTAACGTCTTAAATATAGAGAAGAAACTCTATATCTATAGCGAAACCACAACCAAAAATTGTCAAGCATAAAAGGAAATATAAATACACTTATTAATGTTTTAAAAAGTTTTTTGAATGGATGATAGACAAATTAGCAAATTTACCGATTTCATCCCTCTTCCACTTTTGGCCAATGATTGCATTATTTGCTCCATTATTATTTGTGCCTCTTTATCTCCTTTTAGTTTGATCATGGAATCGAATTTTACTTCAACTATCAAATCTAATCCCTCAGCTAAACTTGTGATTTGGCAATTCCAAATAAACGAAAGGAGGAATAGGAATATATAGTAGAGTTTGAGGGATCACTTGTGGTGTGATTGGCTGCAATTATAAGCAATAGTTGGTAGTAATTTGAAAGCGAGTTATAGGAGGAAGAGGTTGATAGATGAAAATGGAGTGATAGTAAGTGAGAGAGAATCGTCATTGGATGTAATTTGTAGACATGATAACAAAAGAGGCTAGGTTTATTTTTCTTTTTCTTTTTTTTAATCTCATTTCATTATACTGTGAATTGTTAATTAATTGAAGGTCATTATAGTCATTTGATAGGTTGTCGAGCAT